CTTTTCGAATGAAAAATTATATCTTTTATGTTGTACAAAAACAATTATTAAAATGAATGTGCTATTGTAATATTATTTAACAACGTCTAACGTATTTAATCCTTGTTTGGCTTCTTTTGTATTCATTATGAAAAAGTAAATTACGCTTCTCACTACCATTTAACAAATATATCTTTTATATTTTATTCTTTTATGTAACTATTTCATACATTTAGTCTATGTAAAATAAAATAGTTTTTATTTTTCTGTAATAAATTTGATATAAACAGAAATATATTATTTTTCTTTATAGTGGTTACACATATAGTATTGTGCTAAAATTAAATAATTTGAATAGATACTTTCGTTAAAACAAAATCATAGTATAAAGAATTAAATAACATCTATCTCATTGAATATGCATGTTTAATATTATATGGATAAAATATTTTTTACTTTGGAGTACCTTATGATACTAAAAAAAGAATGAACTTGTTTTTTATATTGTGTCTTTTAGATAAATCACCATTATTACTTTGTGCTCCTGAAAGTGCAATTAGTGAAGTTGCAGCAGATGAAGAAATTGTTGCTTCAGTTCTGGAAACTGGACCTCGTTGTGTACCTCAAAATCAGTTAGAGATTTATAAACCTTTTTTAAGAACTATTAGGACTCAGCAGTATTCACCAACAACTCTTCATAGAGGAATTTGGAGATTAACTAAAGGGAAAAAATTAGAGGTTGCTCTCAAAATTTTAAAACAAGAAGAAGAAGCAAATTATACAAAAGAATTTTTAGAACTTGCTGGAAAATGGTCTCAATTGCGTTCTGGGACTCTTGTAAGGTAAATAACAAGATTTTAAATAAATTAACACAAAAAATAAATATAAAGTTATTATAATTTTGTGTATTTTAATATAATGAATAGTGCAACAAGTGAAATATTTAAATTCATATTATAAAACATGCTATTAATGTTTTTTAATTTATATATACATCATATCATATTGATACTATAATAATTTGATATGTTCTATCAGATTATATGGTTTAACAGTAACACCATCCATTGGAATGCTTCTGGAATTAGTACGACATGGTTCTCTTGATGAATATTTACGTAGCTCTTCTTCTCAAACTATCAAAACTGTAGATATGGTAGAGGCAACAGCTTGTTTAGCCACTGCTCTCTGGCATCTTGAAGAAAATGGTGTAGTTCATGGTAACATTAGGTGCAATAAACTCCTAGTACATGCTCATACTAATAATAGTTTCATAGTAAAACTTGCCGATCCAGGAATATTTGTATATAGCGAAACAGATATTCATTGGTTACCTCCAGAAACGTATAATGATCCTGAATTGGCTAGGCACAGTTTTCAAGCAGATGTTTGGGCTGTTGGAACAACAATTTGGCAAATATTTGCCAGGTAAAATTGTTTAATAAATAAAATTGACTTACCTTTGTTATATTTCATTATAGTTTAGACATATTTTGTAGGATTATTTAAAAAAAATGAAATTATATAAAATAAATTGGCCTGAATAATGTTTGTCA